ACACCCATTATACAGATATCAACCCAAACTTCTTCACCCAAATTTAGTGACTTCCCCAATGCATAGCTGTGGTGCAGTGAATTACTTGGTATGGCTTTTCTAGCCATAGTCTTTGTAACTTCTACTGGATTACTGAGTGGGACCATGCAAATAAGGTGAATAGAACTCTGATGGTGGGATTGGTTGTTCTGTCACTCTGCCAGGCTTAAAATGTGCCTTCCTAGAGGCAGAGAGGGGGATCTCACTGCCATCAAGTGAGAAGAGCTGAAGGTGAAGTGGAGTGCATCTTTGAACCCAAGATCCCTGCACTGGACCTGCTTGGCTGAGAGATGTCCCGGCAGAGAGACACCCAAGCAGAGAGATGCCCCAGCAGAGAGACAGTGGCACCAAGAGGCATGAAACAGAGTGGCAGGCTTACTTGGCCCACAAAGTGAGAAAGCTGAACACCCTTGGGCAGGAGGCTTGCTGATGGAGTGGGATGTACCTAGGTGCACCTATCAGCAGAGCTAAAAGAGCTTTGTAACATTTGCCCAACCAGGGCAGAGGCCAGGCCGAAAGGCCAAGGTCCAGAGGGGCATATCTGAGGACACAGCAGAGAGGAGACTGCCCTGATTGAAAAACTATCCTGAGCACATTCCTGAACCTAAATTGTATCCTATTACTTCCCTAATAAACCCCATAATCTTGAGTATTGTCTGTGAGTTCTGTGTGGCCATTGCAATGAATTATTGAACCCAGCAGAGAAGTAGTAAGTGCCAGGGGAGGGATGGTTGGTGATTGATTTAGTAAAAGGCTAGAGGGTGACAGCATGTCTGGCCTCATAGGAATAAGCCTTGGGCTGTAGATGGTGAATCTATCTTCCTCTTGTGAAGTTAGATGATGTCAGAAGATGTCACCTCCAAGTCCTTTTTGCAATAGCTTAAGTAGACCAAAGATGAGAACCCAGGTCCCCTGACTCCACACCCAGCAAGCATTCTTTCCATGATGAGGCTGTACCAGCTACAGTGACCTACTCAGTGCTTGTCCTCCCTGCCAGTGTTCAAGATGCATTTTGTTGAATGGAAGAATAAATCAGTTTGGGCTAGATACATGTTGGTACCTTCCAGTGCTCCAGGAAGACATTATTTATAGACATTATTTCATTTATAGACATCATTTCATTTAAATCTCACATCAAGTCTAAGGCATGGGTATTTTTATTCCCATGTTTTAAATGGAAAAAAACAAAACAAAACAAAACACCTGAGACTGAAAAGTTGAACAAACAACAACAACAACAAAAATCCATCGAGTTGATTCCAACTCATGGTGATCCAATGTGTGTCACCATAAAACTGTGATCCCCACAAGATTTTCAATGGCTGATTGTTCAGAAGTAGATCACTAGGCCTTTCCTCCAAGAAGCCTCTGGATAGACTTGAACCTCCAATCTTTCAGTTAGCAGCCCAGCACGTTAACAGTTTCACCATCCAGGGAGTCCCCCCAAGGCCCCACCACTTTGCCCCTTGCAATTGATACTGACAATCTGTGGATCCTCTGTCTTCTAAACGCTCCATGAGTAAAGCTCCCAGCACCCATGGCTGCTCCAAACTGCCTGCCATGGCTGCGGGGACCCCACTGCCAGCAGCGCAGACACTGAAGGGTGGCTGGAGCCAGGAGCTGCTCAGGGGTCTGTCTGCCTACTGCACTCTTCTTCTTCAACATCAAGTTCTCCTGCCTCCCAAACACCACAACCATTTGCAAAGGAAGCCTTTCTCTCAAGACTAAACCCAGTCCATGCAAAGTTCTGCAGTCTCTCTTCTTACATTAGCTTTAAGATCAAGAGCCCACTCCTCTCCAGCCTCCCTGTTCTCTACAGTTGTTCTCATAATCTTACAGATGACTACAGACTCAGATCATCTCCGGAATGTGGGCTTTAAGTCCCAGTCAGAGTCCAGAAGGGTGATTCCCTGCTTGGGTGAGTGTATTAATCAAATGAAAAAATGTGTTCTCCAATTTTCAACTTGAGGAAATGTCGGCAAATCCTGAGGAATGGACTACACCCTGGGCATTATCCCCACGGCCGTGTAGGGTGCTTTCACATTCTAAGTCCCAATAACCTTGCCTCAGGTGGGGCGAAACTGTGTTCATTTCCCCTCTGTTTGGCTATATTCCCTCCTCAGGTCTAGGTGACTGAGTCCTCTCCATGCCCCATTTTTCCCGAAGGTGAAAGTGTTGAAGGACCAGAGAAGCCTTTTGCTGAGAAACTGCAGAAGTATAACAAACTAACAGTCATGATCAAAGAAGACATTGATCACAAAGATTAATATTCTCTTTTTTCTTTCCCTTCTCCTTCACTCTACATAAATAGAATAGCTGACGCTTTCATGGACAAAAATTCCTTTAGGATTGTTTTTCTGCACATGTTGTTGTTATGTGCCCTCGAGTCGGACCCTACTCATAGCGACCCCTCCTTGGGTTTCCGAGGCAGTATCACTACGGAAGTAGATTGCCTAACCTTCCTTCTGAGGAGTGGCTGGTGGGTTTGAACTGCCAGCCTTCTGGTTAGCAGTCAAGTACCTTAGGCACTACTCTACCAGAGCTCCTTTTCTGCATATATATTCCTTTTATTTTCCTTTAATTTTTATTGTGATTTGGGTGAAAGCTGACAGAGCTAATTCATTCTCCATACAGCAGTTCCTACACATTTTGTTTCATGACCCTGACCGCAATGCCCCACAATGTAACAGCTCTCTTTGCACTTCCTCCCTGTAGCTATCTTTTCCCTATGTCCTTCCTTCCTATGCATTCCTGCCCCGCCCCCCAGCCATCTCCCGTGCAAATACTGCCCTTCTGTTCTCCCGTGATTGATCGCTCCAGGGAGTGTATCTTTATGCCTATTATTGGCTGGAAGCCACATGAATGAGTTCAGTTCCAGACCTGAGGGGTAACTAGGGGCCATAGTCTCAGGGGTCTCATCAGGCTCTACCAAACAAGTAAACAAGTAAACCTGGCCTTTTTTTTTTTTTTTTTTTGATTTTTGTTCCACATTGTTCTCCCACTCTATCCAGGATCTCCTTCACTGATCCCTTTCTGAGTGGTTGACAGTGGTAGTAGTGAGGCACTACCTAGTTTTTCTGGTCTCATGGTCTTATAGGCTGAGGATCCCATGAACTACTTACTAGTCCATTGGACTAATTGTTTCCATGCATCTTTGGTTTTCTTCATTCTTCTCTGCTCTGGATGAGGAGAGACCTATTGTTGCATCTTAAATGGCTGCTTGCAAGCTTTTAAGATCCCAGTCACTACTCACCAGAGTAAGATGTAGAACAATGTTTTGTGTAGTATGTTACGACAATTGAGCTTAATGTCCCCTGCAACCATGGTCCTGAGCCCACAGGTCCAACCACTCACTCCCTCAGGGTGGTTGGCTATGGCCAAGAAATTATTTTATAACTTTGCCCTTTGTTAGTTCTATTATATGTTTGGACATTCTTACAGCACATACAAATACATATGTAGAAATATCATCTGCTAACCTTATATATGGCCATGGGTATATTCCCTTCTGCCTAGACATATCTGATCGTTCAGCCTGTCTCCTCACCTATTTACCTGTAGATTAATGTTTGCTATCACTGATTACGCACTGCAAACATATTCCCTTGAGCATATGGCTTACCCACATGGCCTGTTTCACCTGATCACTGTGGTTTATGGGACAAGACAACCCCATAAGAGTTGAAAAGAGAGACAGTGAGTTTGGAGCAACCAAGATAAAGAAGAAATGGAGATATTCTTGGCAGTCCAAGAGGCCTGAGTATACCCACTCCCGCATCTCCTCTCCTTGTAGAGTTAATCTTTCTGGGCAGGAGCAAGGAGTTTGCAGAACAACTTCTCCTGACCAAGGCCGGTTTTACGTCATTGACCAAAAGAGTAACAGAAGAGTCACAAGGTGAAGAAGACGCATCCGGATAACAAGAAACCATTATCAGCATTCCTCAACCCCCCCAGCACACACACACACACACCCCTTAGCTCCACTCTCTTTAAAACTCCTAACCTTTTCTCAGTTTGAGGAGACAGACTTGTAGATTCTCTTTACTTTGCTCTATGACTTCACCCTTGCCTTATAATGATTGGCTCATTTTATAGTGATTGGCGCTACTTGCCACGTGTGGTAAAAACGTCAATTTTCTGGCATCAAAAGGAGCATACCAAAAAAAAAAAAAACCTCTCACAACTCTCCAGTCAATTCTGACTCATAGTGATCATTGGGAACTGCCACATAGTGTTTCCCAAGCTGTAAATCTTTACTCAAGCAGACTGTTACATCTTTATCCCACTGAAAAGCTGGTGGATTTGGACCACATTTTGGCTAGCAACTGAGCACTTAACCACTTTGCAAGCACAGCACAATTTTGTCATTTTAATACCTGGATGAGAGTGCTTTATAAACATCACAGAGATCAGATCTAGACTGGCTTCCATCTCCCATCCCAGATCTTTAAGGACCAGCCCCTTCAGTTACAAAGAGAAAACAGGTAAGAGAGCAGCAGTGACCCATAGCTGTTGTTGTTGTCTTGTGCCGCTAAGTCAGACATGACTCATAGTGACCACTCCTTGGGTTTCCGAAGTGGAATCTCTACAGAAGTAGATTGCCCAACCTTCCTTCCGCAGAATGGCTGGTGGGTTTGAACCGCCAGCCTTCTGGTTAGCAGTCAAGTGCCCTAGGCACTAGCTACCAGAGCTCCTGACCCATAGCTAGTTCACAGCAACTCTGGAAGCCAGATCCCCCATTCCTAAACCCAGTGCCCTTTCTCCTGAGAGACACGCAGGACAAATTTGGAAACGATTGTTGGGGACATGCCTCATCTGTTAACTTGGTGGGCTTTTCATCATCCTCACATGGATTCTGACTTTTGATAAGTTATGGAACTAGGAAACACCAACCTTCCTTGTACCTCTTTTCCCTGGGGCCAAATTCCTCTACCTGGGCAGATTAGGGCCGCCTAGCTCACCTGTCCGAAGTCGGAGAGTTTCCTGCCCAAGCCTCTGCTCTCCAAGACCACAGCTGACATGCTGGCTACCCGCTAGTGATGTCTCTAGCTCTCAGTCCCAGGCAGATTTGCAAACAGCACGTGGCGCTGAGCTTTTTAACTTGGCTTTGAGTAGTAGCGAGGAGGTTCCAAAGGGTGTATGCAACGAAAGCACCTACGCAAAGGAACGCCCCTCTGGTGGGCGTCGTCCTGACGCAGTGGGCGAGAGGCTGCCGGTTCCCTGTTTCTGGCTACTTGCCCGGGGCTGCCTGAAGGAAGGGGCAGGAGCCGCGGATTCTAGGAGGCCGCAGAGGGACCGCACAAGCACCTGTGCCCTGGCGATCAGACAGGTTTGGCACTTGTGCGAGTTTCAACTGGAGTAAACCTGCGACGGTCTGGTGATAACATTACAATCCTTCCTTCATCCTCCTGATAGACCAAAACCAAGTTTTTAAGTAAATTTTTTTTTTTTTTTTTTCAGTCCTTCTATTAACTAGGAAGCAAACTTTCAGTGCTTTGGCCTTAGAAAACTGTAAATGGCATTGGGAACGCTGAGCACAGCCACTGAAGCTAAAGAACAAAGGCAAGAGCAGACTGCGCTGGAATCCAGCGATGTGGCCTTGGGTTATTTACATAATGACTGGGTCTCTGAACAGAGGCTGGCAGAGCCACCTTGCTGGGCTGTTCCAAGAATTTGAGACATGAGGCAATGCATTAAACATTTAATACAGTTCTTACCACGTAAACTGTCGATGAATGGAAACCCAAAAACCAAACCTACAGCTGTCAGTCCTTTTCAACTAGTAGTGACTGTGCAATGGAAGCTATTGTTTAAAAGTCCATCCACATAAATCTGATAGCAAACAATTGTTGAGGGTCTATTATTCAAGTAGACTGGAAAACTTCCAATTAACCTCATTTTTTCAGACGAGGTGCAGTATTAGTTGTCATTTGGCAAAACAAAATATAAAAGACCACGCAAAGTTGTTGGTTTAGAAGGGATGTGAAAAAGCAAAGGTGTTAAGGCCTTGACCAAAAAAAAAAAAAATAGTTGCGGTCAAGTGGATTCTGACTCATGGCCACCCATGCTTCAGAGTAGAACTGCTGAGCTCAGTGGGGTTTTCAACGGCTTTTCTTTCACTGTGCTGCTGGCTGGATTCCAACTGCCAACCTTTCAGTTAGTGGGCTAGCAAACTATTTGCACTAACTAGCCAGGGACCTCAAGGCCTTGAGTGTCTGCTTAATATTTACCCAGGAGAGGTTAATGGGCTGGAAGAAAAACAAGCCAATAGTAGAGGCTGCTACAAGTCCACCCCTCCCCTCCCATTCATCTTTGACCACATGGTCAAGCTTCTGCAAAAATCAAAACCAAACAAACAAACAAGGTCAGGTTTTGAATTCAAAATAAAGGGATTAGCTAGTGGTTCCACCAATGATTAGCTTGTATCTCTGGTCAAGCCACTTAATCCCACTGTATATACCTCAGTTTCTTTGTCTTCAAAATGAGGATTTTAGGATTTGTTGTTTAGGTTTCATTGACTAGCATAGTGTGCCAGGCTTACTTCTGGCTGTTGGAAATACAGAGAACCCGGAAGTATAATATGATTTCTATCTTCAGGGAGTCCCAGGGCTCTGATAAATATTTCCTATTGTATAATGGGAGCTCAGTGTTGTTGAACACAGAAGCCTAAGACCCAACTTCCACCCTCCGGAGATCTTCACCCTTTATCTGACTGCAGCATTTTTCTAGTGTGGTAGACTAACAATGCAGCATTTTCCTTAGTCCTGGGATAACCTTACACACATTATTTTATTCCTTGGAGCTGCTCGTGTATTAGGAGACCAATGACTGTGACTGCACCTGAAATTCAACAGGCATGCAACAAATAAACACAAACAACAAGAGCTAGTTATTCACATTCACACTGTGTGTTTAACTCTGCCAAACTCTATGTGCATCATCTCATTTCCTCCTCTCAGCAACTCGGTGAACTGCACATTCGTACTTTATAGATAAGGAAGTTGAGGCACAGGAAGTTTCAATAATAGTCCAAGATAAAAGTATGTTTCACCCAACTCCGAGGCACTGGCACTTAAATATTCTTTCTTTCCTTTCTGAAATGAGGACTATAGTGATTTTGAGGACAGCAAAATGAGAGCACGTCTCTTTGCTCTCCACCCCAGCTCAAAATGGAATTGTTAATCCTACCTCATGTAACATTGCTCCAGATCTGGCTCAGGACCATAGTCTCAGGGGACCTCAAGGTCAATTGGCATAACATAGTCCACAAAGGCATTGTTGTACATCCTACGTAGGTATCTAGCAACTGGGGTCTTAAAAGCTTGTTAGCAGCCATCTAAGGTACAACTATTGGGCTCTCCCCATCTGGGGCAAAAAAGAGTAAAGAAAATCAAAGACACATGGAAACAATTAGTCCAACAGACTAATGCATATTAGTGCATCTCAGTCTCCAGGACCCTGAGATCAGAAGAAATCGACTGTGCCCAACCACCACTACCTACTGCTCTGAAAGGGATCACATTAGAAGGTCCTGGATAGAGCTGTAGAAAATGTAGAACAAAACTCAAAATCATAAAAAAGATTAGACTTCCTGGTCTGGTAGAAACTGGTGGGACCTCCAAGACTATAGCCTTCGGATACTCTTTGATCCTGAACTCACCCTCATGGCTCAGCTTTTAGCCAAACAGTAGATGGCCTATCAGGTGAACAAAAACACCAGGGAGGCACACACTCCTTAGAACAATCGACCATATGAGATCAAAAGGGCAGGATTTCTCCAGGGATAAAGCTCCAAAGGCATGAAGGGATAGGAAAGACAGATGAATGGAAACAGTAAACAAGGGAAGGAAGGTGGAAGGGTGCTGTTGTATTATGGGAATTGCACTCAATGCCACTAAACCAAATGTGTATCAATTATTGAATGGAAATCCAATCTGCTCTGTAAATTTTCACCCAAATCACAATAAAACATTAAAGAAAAGAAAAAATGCCCCAGATCTAAGTTATGAGAGCACACTGAATTTCCACTACCTCAGAAAAAAACATAAATAGCTTTTTTAAAAAAAGAAAAAGAAAGAAAG